GAGGGACCAGCAGTTAGCGTAATGGCTATGTCACTGGACTCCCATGTAATTGACCACGGTTCAAGTCCCGGACTTGGTGGCTTAAACTCACGCTGGTTGCGTGTGCGTGCGTGCCCAAGATCCCGAGAGGAGAATGGAGGAGAAGGGATTGTGGCATGGCCATCCCCCCTGGGGGATGATTTCTTGCTTTCTGTCTCTCTGTCTCTCTCTGTCTGTCTGGTGAGCACACACGCCCTATAGCAAAAACCTCTACAAAAAAAGAGAGAGAGAGAGAGAGAGAGAGAAATAATATGGCCATTAATAGCTAATGGCCACATAAAATAATTTAATATGTTTGGAAAGCAATATGGTCATGTTCTAGAGAGTTGAACACATACAGTTTGATTCAATAATCTCATTCTTTGAAATGACAAGAACCAGAACTTTAATTTTTTTAAAGAGATTTTTGTTATATGTTGCATATGCTCACCGGAGAGACAAAAAGCAAGAAATCACTTCCTGGGGGAAGAGCCATGCCACAGTCCCTTCTTCATTCAGGATTTTGTGCGTATATACACATGTGTCCAGTGTGTTTTAAGTTGCCAGGTCTGGGACTTGAACCATGGCCAACTACATGGGAGTCCTGCAACATAGCCATTACACCACTACTGGTCCAGAACTTCAATTTTTAAGATTGCTTACAGGAGTAAAACTTTGGAAATAACCAATGTGCAAAAAATAAGTGAATGATTAAATGCATTTTGATATAAATTCAATTGAATGTTGTTAATATAAGAAAATTATAATAGTAAAATTCTATAGGAGTACATAGTAATGGCATATAAATTTGTACTGATATATAAAACTAATGTGTATTGAGCCCAAAATTATAATGAACCTTTGAAATTAAATAATGGAAGTGATAATATTTTATTTGGTGAGTAGAATTGGTAAATTATCACTTTTTTCTATTTTTGTAATATATTGTCTATGCAGAAGCTTTAAAACATGTGCTGTGAACATTGTATAGCTGATCTATATATGTATAGACATACATACAAACACATACCAGAGGGACACAGATATGAGAGATACATACACATACACATGTATATGTGGTCATGAATATGTTTATTAGCAGGAAAAAGGGAGTAGTGGGCATATATTACACATGTTTTTTTTCTCCTAATTTGAAAGAATAATTACAAAAAATATATAGCTTCAATGATAAAAAATAATCTGATGAAATTTCTATAATGTCAGTGATTATATTACATGACTTATGTATAGGAAAACAATTGTTGCTTTTTGTCAACATTACATATTGAAAGAATTTCCATTAAAAATTTCCTTGTGTATATAATATTGGTGAGTCATCAGTAACAGCACAAATATGTTTTTTCCCTATTTAATTCTCCACCCAACAGTAACTTTCTTAAAGCTCTTTTCATGACCTTATTCCTCAGACTGTAAATAATGGGGTTAAGTGTTGGGGGTATTACTGTATAAAATATAGGTATCATAAGGTCAAAAGTAGTAGGAGAATCTGAAGTTGGTTTTAGAAACTCAAAAATGCCTGTAGAGAGAAAAAATGAGACAACAAAGAGATGAGATAGGCATGTAGAGAAGGCTTTAGACCTACTCTCAGCAGAGGGAATTTTTAGAACCGCAGAGAAGATGTGGATGTAAGAGAGAACAATGGAGATGAAGCAGATGAATGCCATCACAGACATGAAAGCAGTCACTCCAATCACTCCAAGGTAATCATTGGAGCAGGAGAGCTTCAGCAACTGAGGAACATCACAGAAGAATTGCTTAATTATTTTGGGCTTGAAGAATGTGATAGAAAATGTGGCTGTTGTATATAAGATTCCAGAAATTCTTCCACTTAACCATACAGCTATCACAGCCCACTTACATTTTCTGAGACTCATGATGACCTCGTAGTACAGTGGAAAGCAAATGGCAGTGTAGTGGTCATAAGACATCACTGTGAGAATTGCCATCTCAGCCCAGGCAAAGGTTGTGAAGAAGAAAACCTGAAGTATGCATTGGCCATGGGAAATAAAACCATCATCCATCAGTGAGTTGTCAATGGACTGAGGAACTGTGACAGAAATGAAAGAGGTCCAGCAGGGACAAGTGCTTCAGGAAGTAATACATTGGGGATTGGAGATGTAGTTCCAGTGTTGTGATGGTGATAATGATGAGGTTACCTGACAAGGCCAATAGGTACATTACCAAGAAAATCAAAGCATGTAATATCTGTAGTTCATGATTATCAGAAAACCCCATGAGGAGGAATCCACTCACTGTGGTTATATTTGTCATAATTGTTTTGAAGATACAAATTGTGATGGCAGCTAGAAGATAAATGAATATGAGAAATGCAGTAGAGATATGTTAAAATAAATAACTCATTTATCCATTTTTAACAATTAATTAAAAATACCTGCTACTAATCAACTGTGCCCTATAATTTGGGGATCTAAATAAGCATAAAGATATGTATGAGGGGACTCTCCAAAATTTTTATAGAAAATATATGCTATGAAAATACTAAGCATATATTTTTAAAAATTTGCACCAGAATATACTTGTGCTTTAATTCCATTTTTTGAAATCCCTTTGTATTTTCTATATTCATGGAGTATGCAATCTATACTAGTAAGCCAGTACTGCAGTTATATCTGAGTGAAAATGTGGTCAAAGTTAAAAACTCTAATCTATTTCCACAGAAGAATCCTGCTGCTTTCATTTATAAAGTTAAGATCAAAAAAGCAATGATAGACTCTTGATTAGAAATTTCTGATAATTGAAGGCTTCATTTGTGTAGCACATTATTTTAGCAGATAAAATGGTCCATTAGAGGAAATAAAGTACTAGGAATTGAAATATGAGTTAAGTTCTTGGAACCTAAGGTTCCTTCAGGGCAAACAAATCTGTCATTGTAGAGAAGGCAAATGGAACTAAGTACCAGATTGGGTAGGGACTGCTATTACTCTTCCCAATTAACATTGTATTTAGTGTACATCTCATTGAAAACAAGAAGTGAATGCTTTTGTGAAGGAAATACTTACATGTTACTTCCAGATTCAGTGTTTAATTTGATTGTACAAAGTATGTTCTGACATCTAACAATTTTCTCTTTGAATTTTAATTTTATATAACTTCTCTTCACATAATTTGTCTCCAGTTCAAGTTATCAAACATTTATTAACCTTTACTAAATGCAAAAAAGAATTGAAATGAATGAAAGATGGTGATTACTCTGAGATGATTTTAAATGTGGAAGAAAAATATTCAAATACCTGAAATACACCTTCAGGAAGAAGATCTAAGAAGGTATAAAGTGATCTATACTTCAAAAATGGGAGAAATAATGTTTTAGTTTATGATTCAGTGTTTTGAACCTTGCGGAATGGAAATAACAAAGAGTCCTTTCCTCATTTCTCATTAAATTACACATCAGTATTTGAGGGCTGATCATTTATTTGTACTAAGTTTTTTTTTTTTTCTTACAGCTTTTACTTCCATCTTTGAGTTCTAGGAATAAATTTTTAAAATTCTGTATCAGATGATCTCTGTTTTTGTTCTAAATCATGTGAAATAGCACCAAATATTTTTGTGTCTTAGTAATTAATCTTAGAAATTATACTTGGTGATTTCTAAATAAGTCAACACTTTATCCCATTTTATCAATTTGAGAAAAAATATTTTTAAAAATTTTTTAGTTAATATATTATTATTATTTTTTAAAATTTGCTGTAGGACACATGTAGTCACCAGAGAGACATACAGAGAGAAAATAAAATGCAAGAAAGCAAGCTGCCAGGTCTAGGATTTAAACCACAGTTGGCAATATTGGAGTCCAGTGCCTTAACCACCACAATACCTGTTAGCCCTGAGAAAGATTCTTTTAGTCAATTCAATAGCCTCTATTATTCATTTTATTTTTCTGCTGTCTAATGTCAATCTCTCCTGTCAATAATTCAGATTTAATCTTGGTTTCTAACTTTTTCTCTTCCTTGAGTAATGAACTTGGCATCTGAGCACCCCATTTCTATATTTTATTGTCTGGTATGGGTTAGTGGTCTTAGCTTTGAAATAAAAATGGGTATTAAGTTAAATAAAAATGTTAAGCTTTTGTTTTGGCTTCTAAATTTGAAAGTCTCTATGATTTTACATATGAATGTGAATTACAAAGCTAATCTGTCTGGTATATCCCCAAATTTATTTCCACCAAAACCTCATACTACATAATAGAAAACAGGAAGAATAAAAGACTAGGCTATTCTTCTGCCATGACTTATGTTTTTATGTATTACTTTTTATGTTCCCTTCTTCTTTGAACTAATAAATGGATTAATAGCCTTATTCATATATCATTTCAATTTTTGTACATTAAAATTTTTAATCTGCTAGATTTTTACAACCAATCACAAAGAGAATGGGAATTTAAAAAGCAATATATTTTATTTAATTCATGCAAATATTTTTATCTTCTAGAAGTTAAGCATTTTAATCTCTAATTGAGTTTCAAACCCTTTACCTTTGTAATTTGTACCAGTGCCTGATTTCTAAGTTCTGTAAATACTAGACGAAGCACTGAGAAAAAGCTCACAATTACTTTGAACATAGCTCCAACAAAATCTTTGTCCCACAGAGATCAGAGATTATTTGACAAATCTTACATAGTTGCTTTACTCTATATCTTTATAAACATATATTAATCTTTCAGATTTATTGTTTTTTCTTAACTGTAATACATTCATATGAATTAAATATATGGACTTTATTAATCTGCTAATTTTTAGGGAAGTAAGCTTCCTTTCTTGTTTAAATTAGCAGTCTTGCTTTTTCAAGCTCAATTCAATGGATATAAAAGTTCCATAAAATCTTTCCATAAGATTGAAAAACTCACCACAGTTGTTCTTGGTATGTGTTTAGTTATCAAAGTTGAATATCACTTCTTATGCACCTCTTCTATAACAAGACAGATCTTTTAAAAAATGTCATTTCCCTTGAGAACCCACGGTTTCTTCTTCTTGTGTAGCGGAAGTGCTAACTAAATAATACAAATATTTCACTGTTTTCTTATTCTGGCACTTGGTACCTAGAGTCTTTGATATATTGTACAGAGGGAAAATAGTTTAGTAGGCTCTAGGTTTCTGTTGTCCCTAGCTTTGTGATTCTCAAATTGTAGCAGACATAGGAATCACTAAGAGAACTTGTTTAAAAATAGGATCCTATGCTTCACACTCAGAAATTCTGATTCCATAGGTCTAGGCCAATGTTTATTAATATAATTGCATAAGGGGCTCCTAAGTACTGCTGGTGCTATTAGGGCCACATCTGGAGAATCACTGTACTAGCTAAATGACATATTTCTTTTTAAAATATAATAATTTTTATTTTAATTTTGAATTTACATTTGATAGTCATACATATTTGTGGGGTATAGTGTAATACATAGAATATATAATAACCAAATCAAAAAAATAAACATCTACCAGCTTCAACATTCATCACTCCTTTGTGATGCACATATTTTAAATCTTCTTATTTGGTTGTTTTGAAATATATATGGAATTGTTATCAAAAATGTTTTTAGAGTTTTACCATAGGGTGTGTGCATGTGCAGAAGAAAAAGAGAAAGAGAGAGAGAGAGAGAGTGAAAAAATGACCACAAGGGATTTGATCATGCTCTAAACTATTTTCCTCTTGTCTTCTCTAGGGATTTTGGGCACTCATACTTTGCGTGTTTTTCAAACAGCCAGGTCTTGGACTCAAACAATGAAATCAGGGGAATCAGCAGTTAGCATAATGGCTATGTCGCTGGACTCCCACGTAGTCGACTGCGGTTCACGTCCCGGACCCGGTGGCTTAGAACTCACGCCGGGCGCGTGTGCGTGCGTGCCCAAGATCCCGAGAGGAGAATGGAGGAGAAGGGATTGCGGCCTGACCATCCCCCCTGGGGGGTGATTTCTCGCTTTCTGTCTCTGTGTCTCTCTCTGTCTGTCTGGCGAGCGCACGCGCCCTATAGCAAAAACCTCTCCAAAAAAAAAAAAAAAGACCACAGATATAGACATGATACTAAGATTGGCAAGAGAGAAGCAAGGCATGACTTATAAAGGCCATCCCATCAGGCTAACACCGGACCTCTCAAAGGAAACAATGCAAGCAAAGAAAGAATGGGAAGACATATTGAAAGTTTTAAGAGAGAAACAATTTCAACCAAGACTATTATATCCTGCAAGATTATCTTTCATATGAGGAAAAAAAGACTAAAATCTCAGAGAAACAAAACCTGAAAGAATTTGCCAGCACCAGACCAGCTCTTCAAGAAACCCTGAAAAAAGTACTGTTTCAGGAAAACTAAAGAATTAACTGCCAGAAGCAAAGAAATAAAAGGCAACTGAGACAAGGGCCAACTTAAAAGTTGGTAAAGATCCAGTAACATTGATAATAACATTGAATGTTAATGGATTAAATCCTCCAATCAAGAGACACAGACAGGCTGAATGGATAAAGAAACAGAAACCCTCTATCTGTTGCCAACAGGAAACCCATCTCATGAATAAAGATATAAATAGGCTGAAAGTGAAGGGTTGGAAAAATGTTTTCCACGCAAATGGGAACCAAAAAAGAGCTGGAGTTGCAATACTTATTTCTGACAAAAACCCCCAAAATAGTCAAGTGGAATGACAACAGGTTAAGAAGTTTCCTCATTGGGACCAGCAGTTGGCATAAGGGCTATGTTGCTGGACTCCCATGTAGTTGACCGTGGTTTGCGTCCCATACTCGGCGGCTTGAAACTCATGCTGGGCGCGAAAAAAAAAAAGAGGGAAGAAGTTTCCACATGGCAAAAGACACAGTAATTAGTGTGAACTGACAGTGCTCAGAATGGGAAAATATTTTTGTAAACTATATGTCAGATAAGGAACTGATAACCAGAATACAGAAGGAACTCAAACTACAGTTTCAAAAAAATATGATCAAACCTATTAAAAGATGAAAGAATGAACTGAAAAAACCACTCTCTAAAGATGGCATATGAATAGCCAAAATGCATATGAAAAAATGCTCAACATCCCTCAGTGTAAGGGAAATGCAGATCAAAATAATAATGAGATAGCACCTAACCCAAGTCAGAATGACTAAGATTAAAAAACAGAAAAGGATAAGTGCTGGTGGGAGTGTGGTGAAAGGGGAACACTCTTACACTGCTGGTGGGAATGTAAATTAGTCCAGCCATTGTGGAGAACAATTTGGAGATTCCTCAAAATCTGCAAATAGAACTACCATATGACCCAGCAATCCCATTCCTT